ACCACAGAGCCTAGGACTTGCCGATCAGAAGGTTGGCGGTTTCAAATCCCCGCGACGGGGTGAGCTCCTGTTGCTCGCTCCCTGCTCCTGCCAATCTAGCAGTTCGAAAGCACATCAAAGTGCAAGTAGATAAATAGGTACCACTCCGGCAGGAAGGTAAACGGCGTTTCCGTGCGCTGCTCTGGTTCGCCAGAAGCGGCTTAGTCATGCTGGCCACATGACCCGGAATCTGTATGTCGGCTCCCTCGGTCAGTAAAGCGAGATGAGCGCCACAACCCCAGAGTCAGCCACGACTGGACCTAATGGTCAGGGGTCCCTTTACCTTTATCTACCTGGGGTTAAACTCAATTTAAGCCATAAGCCCAAAGCTGGTTTTCCTAGAACCAGCCGTCCAGACTTAGAGTAAGATGAAAAGCCTGAAAACCTCGTTTCAGACAACCACCACTGTGCTTTCCCCTGCAAATGTCAGAATGAGAAACATCCGCACCTTCTGACACGTTCACAGGATGTGTTTCAGCTCCGAAGCCAACACAGAGTCCTGTGCTCACAGCTCAGGCCATCCACACACGACAGAGTCAGCCGAGATGTGCCCCAGACATGCCTACAGTCAAAGTCCAAGCAGCAGGTTGCAGGGACCCTCCCTGCCTTGCCTGCTGCCGGGGCATGCCCTTCGCAGATGCCTCAGCAGGGTCTAAGTCTTGCACACTGCTGCTTTTACATCCCTCTGACTTCCCACGTGGAGCTCAGCTGCTGTACAAACACAATCCCTCTCTCTCTGTAATCCTTCAGCCCTCGTTGGGCGTAGAGGTCCTTTAAAGGCATGCTGTGTCAGGAATAGGGCTGTTGGTGTTCCACAGTCATAGAGCGTGGGTGTGGCACACAGAATTCAGCATCCTGAGAATCTCAGAGCCAGGCTACATGGGACTCAGGAGTTCCATGATACTGATCTTCTGCACTCATTTAAAAAATGGACAGCAGCCCTGTCTGTGTGCGTGCATGTGCACATGTGAGTCTGAGATTCATATCACAACTGTGGCACTGGGGAAGAAGGGATTTAACTCTTTCCCTCCATGCTATTTTCCAGATGAAAACTATACAGTACCTCTCACTTGCTGGATGATCACCTTGTTGTGGTGCGTGGGCTTGCATGTTCCTATAATCCTTGTGAGTGAAGCTGTTGGAAATTTGGTCTTGTAGATACACTAATACATTTACAATATATAATACAATATTTTAGTGTATTTTTGGTCTCTGTGGAAGCCGCCCAGAGTGGCTGGGGAAACCCAGCCGGATGGGCGGGGTACAAATAATAAATAATAATAATAATAATAATAATAATAATTATTATTATTATTATTATTATTATTATTACTTGGCCAAAGTGAGTTCAATCCACTGTACTGACTTGATAAAAGGGATTATTCTACGAAAGACTCAAAGATGCTTCCTGATTAAGCACCAGTCCCCAACAGAGCACTGGTGATTTGTGTGGTCTTCTGTATCCACTAAAAGCGGCATCACACCAAAATTTCACAATAGGAGCTATCTGCATCACATGAAGCCACCTCTTTTATAAAAAGACCAGCACACAAATATAAAGCCAGGGAGAATAATATATAAAAATCGTGTTATGGAGATAGACTGCATTTGCCTGTCAGGCAGTTCTGCAGTAGTGTAGTAGAATGTCTCTGTGTTTTGTGCCAATAGGATGGGACACCTATTGAAACCAATAGGATGTGTACCTCTTCTTTAACTGACTCTAAAACAGATTGGTTGCCCCATTTGTCTGAAATCCCACCCCACGACAGCCATTTGAGGATAACATTTCAGCTAAGCAACACACATGAAAGGGTGGCACCATGGATCTTCTTCAACTATAAAGGTTTGTGAATCAAATGAAACCATCTATATCTCACTAATTTTGGCCTCAAAGTTACACATGTTCTCTTAATTACATCTTTAAGGTCTGAACCTTGAGAAGTCTAGCTGGCACATCTGCTTGATTGCTTTTGGGGGCTGCCCTCTTTGGAATAACCAAGGATTTGTCCTGTGAGTCTTGGTGAACTTCTTCATGGATCACTATGGTTTGAGGCAGTGGTTTTCATCCAGCGTTCTGTGGCACGCTGAGGTGCCTTGAATTATGGCAGGGTGCCAAAGTAACACTGGCCTCTGTCCTTCCTTCCTTCCCTTTTCTGATGCCCTCTCACGTCTCTGCCTCCCAAAGGCTTGCTCAGCTATTTGTTGCAGTAGCCCTGGCTACAAGTTCCCCAGGCGAATGGTGCCTCTGGGGCTGGCCAGGGTGTGCTGGTTGCCAGGAGCTGAGGTGGCCTCCAAGTAAGTAAGTAAACGAGGGAGCCCAGCCAGCCAATCTGCCAGCCCTTGCTGTTGGGAATGTATGGACAAGTCCCAGGCCCCTGTGGGGCAGTGTGAGGAGGCACCTCTATTTGGGGGGGGGCAGCTCAGAGACCAGGGGCGGCAGCAGCAACTGCCCAGAGGACTCCCAAAGAGAGGGGAGAGGAGAGGAGGCCGAGGAAAGGCTCTACAAGAGTGATCAAAAAAGGATGAGAGGCTGCCAGCTCTGCAGGCAAGGGGTGACATAACCAGCCCTTGAGCCCCACAGGGGCAGAAAGAATGTAGTTGCTCAAGGACTCAAAAAGGTTGACAACCTCTTGTTGGAGGTCTGAGTTTCCAGGTGGAGATGGCCACAGCTAGGAAGGAGGACAGTAGAGCAGCCTATATCAGAGGAAGCTACCAGACCAGCTAACTCCATAAACTGGTGTGTATGCAAGATGGAAAGTTGAGAGAAACTGCATGTACCCTGTCTTTATTTTTCAAGTAGGATACCAAAGTCTAGATAACTGAAGATAAGGGTTATGTTTACGGAAACCTGCCATCGCAGATGGTTACACTGATTAGATGACCCTTAGGGCAACTTTGAACCATTGTGGTGCAGCTGTTAACTGGCTAATGTGCTTCACTCAAGCTGTGGTTTAATCTCAGAAGCCTATCAACTATACTTCACTATCCTTTGGTTAATAAAGGCCCTCTATAAACCTAACATGCAATTATTCTATCAGTGTAATGACCTAGACTAGGCAGGCCGTTTCACCATTAAACACCAACCCAATACACCTTGTTCAAATTCTGGTTTTCCCATTTTAATAAGTGCCCTGTGGATAGAGACACTGCGCCATAAAGTGCAAAGAGGCACGCCCACCCTGCTCCACTTGGTTGTATAAATTCCTCCTTCGCAGTAAACATGATTGAATAAACTCCACAGAGAAAGCTCGTTTTGCACGAAAAGTCCCTCAATGCTTTGCAGGGGGGAAGGGAAGGCAATTGATAACAGCAGGTGAAGAATGAAAACTTCAACTGTGCAACACAGGTGAGAGAATTAATACGGGAGCCAACAATGGAAACTCGAAGTGGTGGCTTGTATCACTTTCAGCAGTGGTATTTGCTCAAAAATGGGCAAACTGGGAACAGGAAATGCATAACAGGACCACATGTATTATAAAGCATCTCTGGTTTCTGGGTAAAAAAGTATTTTATTTATATATGAAGCAAATAGTTTCAAGTTTTCTCGCACACACAATTTTTCTTGAGACACAGAGCCCTCTCCATTCCAATTATAACATTTCCTAACTTTCATGATTGCAAACATTGATTCCTCACTGTATTCTTCTAAGACTGTAATCCATGCACACTTACATGAGAATAAACTCAACTGAACTCAATTAAGGCTCACCCACACTTCAGCAGATGCCCAAGTGATTTTCAGCTTGTCCCATGCCTACAAAACATGAGTCCGAGCAGTTTTCTGTTTGCTCTGCTGGCTTCCCCAGGAAAGCCTGCTATTTAGCGCTGAATTATTAGAGCAAATGTCAATCCATGAATTGATGTTTGCTCCAGCTGAGTGGTAAAGATCACACTTTCCCAGGGGAAAGTGGTGGGACAATACTAGAATAGAATAGAATAGAATAGAATAGAATAGAATAGAACAGAATAGAATCACAGAGTTGGAAGGGACCCTGATGATCATCTCGTCCTGCTTCCTGCAATGGAATATGCAGCTGTCCCTTAAGGTGATCGAACCTACAACCTTGGCATTATCAGCACAACGCTCTAACCAACTGAGCTACAGATGAGCCCTGAGACCCAATCACTCTGGAGTAAGCATTCATTGGGTCAGGCTTGATAAAGACAGTTTGGTCTTCAGTCATCTGTAATGCAAACAGCAGTACCAATAATTGACCGAACAATCTTACAAATAGCGGTTACCATTTCAGAATGCTGCCCTGCTCTTCTAAGCTTTAAGAGGCTAGCCTGAACTAGAGTTCCCATCAAAGAAAAGGGCAGAAGCTATAATAAATACTAATAATAATTCCAAAAGATATAACATCATTTCCTGTACAATTTTTTCCTTGCTCCTCCCTTTTCTCTGGATGTTTCCAGCAAAGTTAGACTAAGAAAACATTTTCATTCTAACATTGCAAACTGCTAACATGAACCATCAGAGATAGAGGCTGCATTCAGAATTCCAGAAATCTAGCAGAATCTAAGTTTAGATAAAATCCGTTTGCATCTCTGTAAAACCAAAAAAATGGTTGGACAAAATTTGGGGCAGTATTCCAGCTCTTCATATGGATGAATCATGGGGGAACAGAAGTGCACGTGTGCATAAAGGAGGGTGTCAACATATCTGATGATGTCTGCTGTTGTGTCACAACGCACCCACTGGTGTGAAGGAAATTCAGTGTGGAATAGGGGTATATCAATCAAAAATCCATATGTGACTGGCAATGGAGAATAAAAGAAACTTTAGAAACTGGGACAGAAGCACTAGCATTATAACCAAGAAAACTAACACAATAATTGCCATGTCTAAATACAACCTGCACACACTTAAAATAAAAGTTATAAACAAACTCTGCCCACTTGTTTTCAGTCTGGAATCTCTGCTAGCTCCAGTTAGCAAAGATAAGATTAGTGGTACCTACCCTAAATGCTTCTTCAGAGTGGCTTGTCCAGCTTCCTGCTTGTCCACATCTTCAGAATTTGTGTTAATAATCCAAATAGCAGTAAACTTTAAATGCCTGCCTGAGCCACATCCTTCTGAGTTCACTCAGTCCTGTCAAGAGAGGAGGAGAGACATGAGTTGCGAGGGGCAGTTTCCATGACATTCATGGAGAATGTGTTTGTGGATTGCTGTTCAGGAAGGGTGACTTGGAGGAGCACAGATTGCACGACCCCTAAGCCCTTTTCAGAGGTTCAAAGAATATGCAAGAGCATAATTTCACAAAGTATGTAGTGAACATGAGGACACGCACACCAGCCAGGACCACAGCATTCCCAGCCACTGTTGGGCTAAGTGTATTTAAAAAGCCTCTCCACGATTGCAGGGTAACACAGGGTTCTCAGACCAGGGCAGGGGCTTGTAAGCATGTTCAGCTGGTTGTGCATACAAATGCCATCCAGATCTTTCCACTCAACATGGGAAGATCTGGTATGGAGCAGCGAGGATTAAGATATCACAGGCATTGTTCCTCTTGCACATGCACCCCCAACCTTCTACACATTTTATGCCCTTACGCATTATTTGAACACCTGAACGGGACTCTAGTTTTGAGCACTTCACTTCTGGATCAAACTGGCTGGCAGCAGCACAGATTGGTGGATAAATATAACTTGGGAGGAAGAGACCTTCAGGATGTCCTCCTTGAATTCTTGCTAGCATGGTCAAAATGGCTTAGATCTAAGACTACAGAAAGTACTTCTGCTTGGTTTTTTAAAATAGCAGCTAAGGCTGCTTGGGTGAGCAAGTGAAGCAATGCGAGGCTCCAGCCCTCTTCAGCAGAAAACTGAAATAAAGATAATTTAGAAGAAAAAAGTGGCACCCCGCAAGGGACTGTACCACCCTGCCACCTCAGTAAACCAATATTTCTTAGCAAGAGCAGTTGTGGATCACAAAGAGCCTGCCACGCACTCAACAACTGTCCCTCACTTTTATGGCATCCTGGAGACATGGCTTGAATGAATTATTTACTTCTTGCTTTCTTATTGTAAAGATTAATAGTAGCCTGATGCGTATAGGGAAATCAGAGTGGCAATGCAGGACAGGAAGAGAGGTGTTAACCTCCCCTCTTGCAACTCTACTGCCAGTTACAGCTGAAACTCCACCACCTAAAACAGCTCTTTGCCCCATATGGGAAAACAAATAGGTATCTATATGATGCGTTGATGATTTCCCCTGCCCTCTCTCTACAGTGCCATGTTCCAAATCCAATTCCTTCACTGGATATGACTACTAAAAGGTTTTTTTAAGTACTGTGGAAGATATTGGTCACACATCTCCCAAGTCATGTCTTGTTATGGCATAAGGCTCTGTTCAGAGAACACATTTTCAGAGATGTGAAACATCATGGCATACAGAAGATGCTAATTTGTCTGTTGCACAACTGTCACCAGCAATTTCTTTTCCTGGGCCTTGATAGGAACCTACTAAATCTTGAAATACAATTCACAGGACTGCTCCACAGCAGTCTTGCAATCTCTACAGCAGCTTGAGGGAGATAATTTATAGTAGGACAATGGTATGGACAGAAAGGGTTAAATACCTCCAGCTGTCCTAGCCAAATTAGCACCCCCAACTTTCTTTGACAGTATGTCATAAAAAAGAAAAAGAAAAAAGTGGCATCAATAGAAATGAAAGAACAAATCGTAGATATATGAATTATCTGAAAACATCAACAGTACCTTTGAAAGAACCTCGACACAGAGAAGAACTAAAAAAAGTACTTCTGAGCCCGAGCAGAACACTCTGCAATGTTAGCAAGAACAAGAGAAAATGATGTTGGAAATGGCTGGGAAAAAGGAGGGGAAACAGTAGCTCAGACTTGGCAGAGGTAAGTTTGAGACAATGGGCACTCATCCAAGGAGAGATAGCAGAGACTGTGGCCAAGTGATGAAGGGTAAAGATCGGGTAAAGAATGTGGAGTTGTAGGTCCTTGGCATAAAGGTGGTATTGAAGACCAAATGAATGGATAATGGAACCAAGAGGGGGATTATGAAGAGGGAAAAAGAAGAGGAGTGATCCCTGGGGAACTTCTACAGAAAGAAGAAAAAGGGGAAAGTAGGACCATTCAAATACACTTTAAAAACCCAAAAACATAACCATTAAGAAATACATGACAAAATGGTACTCCGAAAAGCCGAGAGAAGTGAATGGTGAGATGTATCAATGAAGGCTCGAGTGAGATTCAAAAGAAATAGTACAGACAAAAGATCCTTAGCTCTTGCTGTGAAACAGTCATTCATAGTATATATCCTTATGGTCACTTGCACAATACTCATTTGAGGTAGACCACTCTAGCTCCTATTTTCAGCTATGTGAAGCAGAGTCACCGTATGAGTCTGACTTGCTCAAGGCCACCAAGAGATGAAATCTGAACTCAGGTACCAAGGATAAGTCCAGCTCTTCCATCTGATCAACTGCACTAGCTTCATAGTAGTAGCCAGGAGCTGCAGTTGCTTCTTTGCCCTCAGTCCATCAATGTCAGGATGTAAAGTGACAGAGGGCAGAAAAGGTGCCTCTGTTGCTTAGGGTCTTGGCAATAATTAGAGAGGGGCTGGGGGAAAGCACTTCCTCTCCAGTTATCTCCCATGATGGCCAAAGAATGAAAGGCTGAGGATGGCCCCGGGGAAGACTCACCTTGAACACACAAATATTACAAAGCACTTGGCATCCATTCCAAAGGTGCTCAACCTTCAGAGACAGATAGACAGCCAAATCACCCATCTTAGGCCAAACTACATTAAGTGAAATAGCAGATGTTGGAACACAGTACGTGGGAGAGCGGGGGTTAAACCTTTTATCCCACACCACAGTCCTGATAACTGTGTCTACCTCTTAAGCTGTTGTTTGATGTGTGAAGAAAGTTAACTTCAGGAATCCTGATGAGAGCTCTGATTTAAGGGAGCCAATTCTGTCTGGTCCACAAGGCTGACTTCTCCCAGGTAAAACTGGGTTGTTTTGGTGAGCGGAACGGCAGGTGTCACTGATGTACAGAACATCCAAAAGGGAGCTGATGGTCATAGAGCTAAATCTATACCCCTCCAACAGACATTCAAGTAAGAATCTCTAATGAAAAATGGAACGTGCTGGGGGGGGGACTTTTAAAACTGTTTCAGCCCAATTAAGAGAATCCTTTGAAACTCTTACATTGGTGGCCTCTTCCCCCTTGTGAATTCATCCCACAAGATACCAGGAGCAACATCAACCTGTTGAAGGGGATGTGGGGAGACTGGATTTTACATATGTATGTGGTGGTTTTGCAAATTTGTTTACCCATTTTGGGTTTTGTTATTTAAAGAATTGAGTTTAACATACAAAACGGATCTACAACCTTCCCCTCAACTTGCTTTATTTGGAATAAATGACATGCCTGCTCCACCTATTGCTCACAAAGAACTTTAAACGTTCCTCCTTGTGGCAACACATATGGAAATAGCCATGCGATGGCATACTGCCTTGGACTTGAAAATTGAAGCATGATACCCCAGAACATGGACAATAGCCCTGGCTGAAAAGCTGATGTGTCAGATTCGTGAGACCAAAGGGAATTCTAAACCACATTTTCTATAATGTGTGATAACAGTTTTGGATTGTATGTATCAATATGATTGTGTTTATAATGCCCTGAGAGCTCATGTTACTATGTGGAAATATTTTTTGGACTGAACTTTAAGAATTTGATTTGATGTTTTTAAGCAACGTGGTTGATGTGTTGTGAGTTACGGTATGTTGTTTTATTGTGATGTGAAAAAATAAAATAAAAATGTTTTCCCCAAAAAATCTATACCCCTCCATCATGCACTGATCTGCTGCCTGCACCATTACCTATGAAGGTAATGATGAGCGCAAAAGAGACCAAACTACACATATACATAGCTGTCAACGTTTCCCTTTTTTAAGGGAAATTCCCTTATTCTGAATAGGATTCCTTGCAAGAAAAGGGAAAAGTTGACAGCTATGCACGTATACAATCTAAGGTGCAACACTGGCATAGAAATTTGTTCTAATTTCTTTCAAAATGGAAACTCAAACCATCAGCATGTTGGTAATAATATGTAGCATTTACATATTTGTACATATAAATATGCTTCTCCGTGCATCTGTTGTTTCTTTTTGAAACATTTATACAGTGCACTTTCCATGTTTGTTTATTTTTATACCACTCTTCGGTTATATTCCCAGGATAGTTTACAAAGAGAATAAAACAATTAAAATGTATATACAAAACAACGTAAAATAAAACAAGTAAAAACCACAAAATCATAAATGAAACATACCACAGGACTAAGACTGCATCTAAAAAGCTTGGGGAAAATAAAAAGGACTTTGCCTAATGCTGAAAGGGCAAAGCATTAGAAGTGCTCTACACACAAACTGCATTCAGGCATTTGTCAGAACACTCAAGGTCTTAAAGCACGGGGAGGGGTGTACCTGTGTCTCGTGCCAACATCTTTGCATTGAACTGGCAGGATGACGGGGAGGAGAAAGAGAATCCCGGCACGAGGGGTGTAGCAGGGAATGGGCAAACGGGGGGTGGAGAAGGAAGTACTCACAGGATGACAGAGGATAGCAAGGGATGGAGGTCAAGGTACAGGAACCAGAGCAGCAGAACCCATCACAAGAGGAGCCTGTCTCCACAAATGCAGTGGGCTCTGAGGTGTAGGGAGCAATGGGAAAGGCACTCTAGGAGGCTGAGGCATACAAGGGTGCAGAGCCCAAGCTCCCTAGCTGGCTAGGTGGGGCTCGCTGGCTCCAGGTGTGATTCCTCAGCTGGAGAAGGCTTGGGATAGGTGAGGGTCACATGCCTCATCAAGCCCAGATGCTGCAACCAGCATGCCAAGTACAAAAGGGAAGCAGAACTGAGGTGCTATGGAAGTTCTACTGCCCATGTTGATGGACCTCTATGGGACTGTGATTTGGGTTTCATGCGGGACTGTATTCTGACTGCTGGACTTCAGACTTGGCTAGACGCTGGATGTGTTTCATGGACTGTGCTTGTATGGCTTGACCCCTGGACTTGGACTCGACACACTAACTTGCTGCCAGGTAGGCCAGGG